TCATATTGTTTCATATTAAATCACATATCAAAACACACAAGATTTTTTGATCAAATACCAAATAATTTAATCCACCGGAGATAAATCGATACTAGGGATCAGGAGCTATTGCAAAAGCACAAATTCAGGAGGACTAAGGTGAGATACCAGGAGTCGGGATCTGACGTCAGAGCACGTATTCTAGAAGGGCTAAAGTATAAACCAAGAGTCGGGATTTGTTTTGAAGGAGGACATCTCCAGTAGGATCAAGGGAAACTGTAGGAATTGAGGTCAGAAGTTCTACGAGGTAAATGGGTTTAGATCGTACTGTAAGTTTGTTTCGATTTATAATGGATTATTGACTGGCAAAATGTTCGGAATTTTTACATAGTTGGGGTTTCTCCGTGATCATTTTTGGTGTTCTTTACTGCTTTAATTATTGATTGTGGTATTCAAAATTAGGATAAATTGACTTATTTGATCTAATTATCTAGAAACAATTAAAAAGTGACTTATTGCTTTTAATTGTGTAATTCCGCACGTCGGTCTAAATAATTTAAAACTTTCAATTGGTATCAGAGCTTAATAGCGATCATTGACCTAATATTTTATTTAGATGAGTCAATCAATTTCTGATTCGGGATCTGAGTATGATATGGAAATTCGGGAAACTTATGACCAATTGTTTGAGGAGTGCCTTAAGTTGAAAAAAGTGAATCGCTCTGCCTTTTAAAAATTGAATAATCTTGAATTAGAAAAGGAGAGTCTTGTAGCCAAACTTGAGGAATCCACCAGAATTTTGAATGACTTAAGAGTTGAGAAAGAATCCTTAGATATTAAGGTTAAATCTCTTATTAGTAATATGGAAAAATCAAATACCCAACTCCAATATTTTTCTAGTGGATCTAAGAAAATTGATAGCATGATAGGTTTGAATAAAACAATTGGGGATAGAAGAGGTGTAGGTTTTAATGAAATAAATTCCCATATTGCTTCTTCTTCGAAAAATAAGTTTGTATCTACCTCGATGCCTAAGGTTCAAAATTTGAGACCTAGAGTAACTCCCAAGTTCATCCCCACGTGTCACCATTGTGGTAAGGTTGGACACATAAGACCCAAGTGTCGCGAGCTCTTGAATAGGAACAAGACCAAGAATATTGGTGTCCGAGAACCGAAATCATCAGTACAACATATGTTTCCTCCACTTAAGGTTCAAAATTTGAAATCTATGATTGTTTCTAAATTCATTCCGACATTTCATAATTGTAGTATTTTAGGTCACATTAGACCTAAATGTCGTAAGCCTTTGATTAGGAAAAATAAATAAGATCTAACTACTCACGTTAGATTCTTGACTAATCAAGTGAGTCATTTAACTGCGTTGATGACACAATTGACTAAGCCCTTTTTTCTCATTTTTCTACTCATTTTCAATCACACATTTTTCAATAAAATAATACTTTTGATCACATCAATAACTTTTCCTTCTTTTTCAACCACATATTCTTAATTACATCAACCAAAAAGTGCATTGTATCCACAAAAATGTCTAACAAACAGATGCTAAGATTACATCTTCTTCTAAGAAGATTTGTGTCAAAAAGAGTGAACTCACACTCATGTTGCTCTTCATGGTAAGAGCACTTCTGTGGCTCACTGAGTTGGTAGTTAGGTGCATGCATCTGCATTATTCATAGTATCTACATATTCATGCATGCTCTCTAAACTTTTTCTTTATTTGTTTTGCATTTTATTTATTATCTTGAAAAATGAAATTTAAAAAAAAAATTGAAAAGGGAAAATATTTTCTATA